AACCTTAGAGGACGAGGGTCTAGAATCGCTATTAGGTTCTAATTCTAATTCTAATTCTAAGACACTTATAGTACCTAAAAAGACTCTTAAGAAGATGAAGGTCTCGAAGGTAAGGTAAGTAGGTGTAATAGTCTTATAATAGTCTTAGCTAACACTAAATAGCATGTCCGATCTCGAGGATTCTAACATTAATCCCCTTCTAAGTATAAGAGTATTAAAAAAGCGCGTACCTAGACCCGATGCTACTAGAAGCAGTAGAAGAGCTACTAGAGGAAAGACAGTTCCTATTAGTAGAGAATTGACTAGAAAAAAGACCGTCTCTACTAGCAAGCAATTACTAAAGGTCCTACCTAAGAAGCAAGCACCTAAGAAGCAAGTACCTAAGAAGAACGTAGCTAAATCGTCTAAGGGTAAAAACTACGAAGGACCTTAACTATATAACTTAAGCGGAAAAGGAAACATGCTCGGCGACAAGGCTCTAAGATTCGTCCTATTAACTAACACTAAGAAGGGCGGTATGTATACTATAATAGTCTTATAATAGTCTTATGCTAATAGTATATAGGAACAAATGCCCTTTCTAAAATTAAGCACTACTAGGTAACTACTAGAACACTTATTACTATCTTGCTGTTCTAAAGACTCGTTAGAGAAATTGCTAAGGACTATAAAGAAGATCTACGATTCTAGAAATCTACTATCGATGCTCTTTAGGTCGCTATAGAAGCATACATAATTATAATGTTTAAGATAGTTAACCTAGGTGCCATTTATGTAAAGCGTATTACTATCTAGTTAAAGGACTTTAAGCTTATTAAGGCAATCGTAGGCCGTATAACTCTTTAATAGTTTAGGTATATGCGATTAACGTATAATAGTCTTATAATAGTCTAACGATTTATAGAGCGCAAATAGAAACATAAGAAGAATAATTATATTATTATAGTTTTTAGGTCCTTTAGGGACATATAGAAGGGAGAAAATTAGCTTACCTAATTAATCAAATTAAATGGTTAGACGTTTTTTAAACTCCTAAACTAGTAGTATGTCCTTCTACATAATTATAACTCGCCTTCTATAGATAGTAAGTAACTAGGCTAACTTAAAATGCTATATAAGATAAGCCTTTGTAGCCTCTTATAGTGCTATAATCGCCTTAGAACGAAAGCGTAGGTTATAGCCTAGAACGCTAGTAACTTCCCTTATAAGGCGCTAGAATAGTAGCCTAGGGATAATAAGATCTGTACTCTTTTAGTAGTTCTAGATCTCTCGAAGAGCTATAGTTCCTTAGCCTATATATCTAATTAGAATAGGTATCTTAGTGCATCTACGCTTATAGTACCTCTTCTCCTAGACGTCTTTAGGCGCACTATAACTATAGACTTTCCTATAATAGTGTTAGTATACGAGACCTATTTTAATTATTATGACTTACGTTTTCGTTGCCTTAGAGCTAGCTTTAGTACGGTCTTTACTGTCTTTATAGATTAACGTGTATAGCGGGGGGCGGCTAGGACTTTTGCTATACGATAATTAGTAGGCTTACTATTATAAGACTATTATACGCCCTACGCTACTTTTAGGCCGTATAATAAGGAGCTATCTTTTTTA